TTTGGTTTGTTTCTCCTAAGTACGCTTTAAAGAAAATTAGTTATGGCCTGTATTCGAATTTCTTTTTGTGTTCTTGTATTAGGATCCCGGAAGTAGCAATGAATTCACTGGAGAACTCAAGAATGTAAGAGCAAGGTGTTTCCACAACTTACTGAGTTGGGGATATAAGCTTTTATCCTTTGCCAGACCCTTTAGGAATTGTGACTGTGAACTGTCAAGACTTAACTTCAAAACACAGCCTTGTTCTTTTGTCAGTGGAGCCAAAACATAATGCCTGAACGACGATTATAGATTTGTATAGACAAGTGAATAGAGTTTTATTTTGCAGGATTCTGATACTGCACATACTTATTCAGCTAAATATCAAAATTGCCACCGCCAAGATGTAGTCATTGATGAGGACTTTATTCTACTCAATGTCTGATCAATCTGTTTCATTCCATAGAAACATAGATGTTTCCATCCAGAAAAGCCTTTCTGTTTTTTAAACAACAGATTGAGGAAGCAGTGAGATGGAAATCCTACTCTGAACTTAGCTCTAACTAATTAGAAAAATTGTTTATTGAAGTACAATTAACTAAATCCTTGGGTGGGAGTAACCATGATAGTATTGTTTGGTAACTTCAAAAGAAATAAAAGTTGAATACAACCAAATAGTAGTGGTGATTTTAGGAAAATATATTTCAGAGTTTCACCATGTTGGCCAGGCTAGTCTCGAACTTCTGACTTCAGGTGATCTGCTTGCCTCAGCCTCCCAAAGTCTTGGGATTACAGGCATGAGCCACCACACCAGGCCCAGGAACCATTTTAATAAGAAGGAATTTTTGATGGGCTTGGATATTAAGAGAACATATACAGAAGATTGAAAGACAAGCACATGACCAGGGACAAATTCAGAAGATTGGCAAAAACTGGTAAGAAAATATCTGCAAAGCCCAAGCTCAGACTGAGCTGAGGCTGGAGAGAATGTTAAAGACGACGAGAAAGCGCTTTTTAAAGCTATGTTCAAAACAAGAAGAACAAGTAAAGGCCAAGCTCATTGCTTGGGGCAGATGGAATAATGTTAAAATATGATGAAAAACAGACCTACTCAACTATTTGGCTTCTCTCTTTCTCTATTAAAGACAATGATGTTCAAACTGGAATGTGTAACATAAACATGATTAAGGATAAATTGAAGCATGCCAGATAGATAATGATATATATAGTTGTGACTACAATTAGAGTTTCTGTTCAGGACTGAGTACTGGAAAAGAGAACTTAGTTGCTTTTTAAATTACTTACTGGCAGGTGTGCATGGTAGCTATTACTGTTACCAATCTCACTGTACGGATGAGAAGACCGAGGCACAGGAAGATTTAATGACAAACCAAGTTACATAGTCGGTAAGTGATGGGCTGGGATTCAGATCCACGCCTGACTAGCTGCAAAGTCGGGCTCTTTTCGCTGGACTTCCTGACTTCCATGCCTATCACTTCTAGTGTTTTTCGACAAGATTGCATTTCTTTGGTTTAAATTATATTGTAAGGCACACAAACAAACACACACTAGTAGATGTTATTGAAGAGCCACAGTGGGTAATTGCTGTGAAACAAGGAAAATGGAATACCAAAATGATAAATAACACATAAAGGCTTTCTTGATTACTTCTTCTTTGTTTTTTGAGACAGAGTCTCCTCCCTCTGTTGCCCAGGCTGGAGTGCAATGGTGTCATCTTTGCTCTCTGCAACCCCCACCTCCCAGGTTCAAGTGATTCTCATGCCTCAGCCTCCCAAGTAGCTGGTATTACAGGCATGTGCCACCAGGCCCGGCTAATTTTT